CTTGTTTACTTTTGTTTAACCCCTCATCCTCCTCGACTGCTTGTCATCATGCTAGACTTGGATTAGCTGTCAGAAAGTTCAACTTTAGAGCACAACTACTGTATAGTAAAAAAAAAAACAAAAAAAAAAACAGAGCTGTTCTGCTTAGCTGTACATGCCATATCAGAAAAACAAAGGAGAGCCACTCTGGGTGCTAATTACTCGACCTTTTAACTTTGTGTGTTGGTCTGGTCACATCATAAACATCATCAGCTTGACTCATGAATATTAATGGGGTGATGTGACATTCGGCCAGTGAGAAGGCAGAAAAGCAAACACTAATGTTTTAACTACAACATTGAAAACGAATTATTTTTTTTCAAAGATTGGAGGTTATTTTACAAGAAAATATTAATTTTATAATAATGTTATAATTTATAATATTTTAATATTTAATTTTAATATCCAGACTTTTCATTTTTCTCATTTAATTCAATGTGTCACTGACCATTTCTTTGTTATTATTTGTAAAATTTACTAGCAATTTCAAAGTTAAAATTGTTTCTATCCTTTATATATATGTGATGAAATAAAAAAAAAATCTTAACATGTTTATAAGGCCACCAAGTGTGTGTGATTATTGCATATGAGTTGTTTCAGTTGTCCCTACATTTTTTCATAGATTTAGAATACATTTTAGAACAAAAGTTATTGATAAATCAGGATTTGTTCATAAAAAGTTTGTACACAGATTTCATGTACAAATTTGTGCATAATCATGTTTAGGGAATGAGACTCAATGTTTTACATGGATGGCTACATGTCTTTCAGAATTATATATTTAATAGTGAAAATTCTGCACCATGTGCTAGAGCCCAAGAGGACGCCACACTCGGGGTGGAGTGGGCAGTCACGCCAAGGGGGCACGTTCGACCTTGCTGCTGGTATGCCAAAGCAATGGTGTCCACTTTCCAGTGAGACAGCCGTTGCTTGGAGAGAGCCTTTTCCTTCAGCTTCCCACCATAACAGACAAATAGCTTGTCTGTCTGAGTTCCTGAAACACTCTGTTCTATCTACATAGGCGTGGAGAACACATACTGGACAGAGCAGTTCCAAGGCTGGGTCTGCCTCCTCTAGGGGCAGCGCTTGCAGGTTCACCATCTGGTCCCGGAAGGGAGTGGTAGGATCCTTGGGCACATATCCAAGCCAGGGTCTCAGGATCACATGAGAGTAGGTTCTTGATGGAGGCCAATTCAGTCTCCTTGCTCCTCTCAGGAACCTGACGATCAGGCCGTGCTTCCCCACAGACTTACCTTCGACTGGATCATGGTGTGCGGAAATAACGGCAACATAGATTTTGAGGGTGGAGGGAGACAGCCTTTGCTCCAACCCATCTTGAAGGAAGAAAAGCACGACACTGATCGAACATCTCTGGGGGTCTTCTCAGTGAGAAGAGCACCAGTTGATGAAGAGGTTCCACTTCAACAAATGTTTCATGGATGACGCTCTAGCGGAAGTGATGGTAGCCACCACTGCTGGTGGTAGGGTACTCAAACTTGCCTTGTCCTGTCCAGGAGCCACACGTGAAAGGCTCCAAAGATCAGGAAGAGGGTGCCATTGTGTGCCCTGTGCCCTTAGGGGAATTGGCCACTTGTACTCCTTTCCACAGCACCTCCTGTCGCGAGGAGTGCAAGTTCAGAAAACCAGGTCCGTGTGGGCTAGTACGGCGCGACCAGAATGACCTGCTCCTCATCAGAGGGAATGCGCAAGAAAGCTCACTGGGGGAAACGCATAGTTGCGGCCGTGGCCAGCTATGCACCAGTGCCTCCACGCTGAGCATGCCCCCGTACAGGGAATAATACAGGGTGCAATGGGTTGAGTCGAGAGAGGCAAACAGATCTATATGTGCGTCACCGAACTGGTCCCAAATCAGCTGAACCGACTAGGGATGGAGTCGCCTTTCTCCAGGGAGGGGCTGAAGCCGTGAGAGCTCGTCGGCTGCACGGTTCAGGGCTCCAGGGATATAAATGGTATGAAGCGGCCTCAGATGCTTCTGACTCCATATGAGGAGGTGGCGGGCGAGTTAGACCACCTTGATGGTTGATGTATGCTACAGTGGCGGTATTGTCTGATCGGACTAGTACGTGTTGATTCTTGAGCACGGCCCGGAAGCGGTGCAGAGCAAGACGTACTGCCAGCAACTGGAGGCAATTGATGTGCCATAGGCACTGGGAGCCCACGGCAACAAGTCCATTGCACATGGCACCCAGCCCATGGTAGAGGCATCTGTCGTTACAACATGACGGGAAGCTTGTTCCAGGGCCACTCTGGCCCATAGAAAACTGGGGTTCAACCCCGGAGTGAAGGTCTGATGGCAGGTCAGAGTAATTGGTACTCAGATGGTGCCGTGTTGCCATGCCCACCTCGGGACTCGGTCGTGAAGCCAAAGCTGAAGCAGTCTCATATGAAGCAATCCGAGCGCAGTTGCAGATGCCATATCCCCCAAGAGCCTCTGAAAACGTTTCATTGGAACCGCACTCTTGCTCTCGAACTGTCTCAGGCAAGCCAGTGACAGTGCGTGCTCACTCGTAAGCTGCACTGACATGGCAACTGAGTCGATGTCCATACCGAGAAAAGAGATCCTCTGCACGAGGCAAAGTTTGCTCTTTTCCCAGTTGACCTGAAGGCCCAGACGAGCTAAGTGCCGGAGCACTAGTTACTTGCTCTCGACAAACCTGGTCTCGAGGGCGAGCTAGGATCAGCCAGTCATCGAGATAGTTCAGGATGCGAACCCCGTATTCCTGTAGGGGAACAAGGGCTGCCTCGACGACCTTCATGAAGACGCGAGGAGACAGGGCTAGCCCGAATTGGAGAACAGAGTACTGATATGCCTGCCCATCCAAAGCAAACCATAGGAATATTCTGTGTCGAGGGAGAATGGAGACATGGAAGTAGGTGTGCGTTTGGCGGTGAGCATTTTGAACCACAGCCTGTGAAGAGAGCGGTTCAGAATGTGCACCATGTTGTCAGAGAACTCAGAGATGGTAAAGTCAGTTCTTTCTGAGAATTAGGATTCTACCCCTCCACCAGGGAAAGGAGTCGGCCTGCTACTAGCTCCTGGAAAGAACTGAGTCCCATATCTGAGCGGCCCATACAGTATCTCAAGAGTGCCCTTTAACCCAGCTTATAGCGGGGGGCGGGGCTGGAGAGGGCTGTGGCGTTCCCCTGCAGCTTCCAGAGCCAGCTCGGATGAACGGGGGCAGGATAGGAGCTGCAGGAGGGCGCCTTTGGCAGTGGGCAGACTGAGGGTTCTGAGCGGAGCGGGGCAGAATATGCCTCAGTTTGCTCATGGCCGGTTGAGAACTAACCCTCTCTCTCTCTCTCTCTCTCTCTCTCTCTCTCTCTCTCTCTCTCTCTCTCTCTCTCTCTCTCTCTCTCTCTCTCTCTCTCTCTTTCTTATTTATATATATATATATATGGCACAGGTGTTACTAAGAGTGCTGGGACACATTCACACTCTATGACTATTTTGGCGTATCTTTGGACTCTGAGGGAAACCGGAGCAACCAGAGGAAACCCACGTCGGCACAGGGAGAAAATGCAAATTCCACACAGAAAGGCCTCTTTGCTCAGCTTGGGATCAAGACAACAGTGCTACTCTCTGAACCACCATGTCGCCCCTAACCCTTTAAGAACAACTGATCTGCTGTAACAGGTGATTTTACTGTGTAGGGAGAAACACACAGCATCTGTTTTTGTTAGATCGTGTACAAAAAAAAAAAATGTGTGAGTCAGGATTCTTTAGGCAGTCTGTCAGATGGTATTTGTATCTTATGGGACCAGGCTGACCAAATGTGTCAACAGTGGGTTCATAAGTGTTGAGCTTTAGAAAGCGCTGAGCAACTGGACAGACAAAGCTCTTAAGACTGAGAGTAATATATTGTTTACTCACTGGAACCATCATTCTCCATCATTCAATTTTTATTTGCTTTGTTTTGTGATATTCTATAGAGGGGCTGACTAGTGTGACAGGAGGTGGAAATGGATATCGGTATGATCGGTGTCTTTACTTCAGAGTTTCTGATTGATTTTCTGTGTGGATGTCAAAACTCCATTTTTATCTCCCTGGCCTGACTTGCAATAGTCAGCTTTAATACATGGCAGACTGTCCATACTGATACAGTCTATGATAGTACATTTGCATAAGAAAATAACTTGGCACCAAGGAGATTACAAATGAATTGGAAAGAAATACTTTTGGCCCAGTATTTGTATCTGAAGACTGTTGTTAGTGAAAAGAAAAAAAATATAACAGAAGCCAAAGACTGCTTGCAGATAGTCTTCCCTGCTTTGTAAATCACTGATATTATTATACAAACTAGTCCCTTTGCTTGTTTACCCAAAACAAAATACTATATTTTTGCTGTTTTCCATGCGGTTTCAATGAAAAAGGGACTGATTTCGTGTTGGTAAAATTTGTGAATTATAGTTGTTCAGACCCGTTTTTGTAACTTGGATCAACAAATACAGTTCAACAAAAACACATTTTATCTTTTGGACTAGCATGAAAATTTTCGTTTTCCTTGTTATTTAATTTATAAAATTTAATTTAATTTTTTTAATTATATTTAAATGAAAAATGATTACATAATGAGTATAAATTATTAATTTAATGCATGCATACGTATATGCATTAAATTAATAATTAATAATATATATTAATTCTAAAATTGTTTCATCATATTTAATATTCATATTTAATTAATCATATTTTCGTATTTATATGGGCTAGGGTTGAAGTATAAACAACACTCTCTCATTCCAGCCCCAAAACTTGGAAATATTTTTCCATTATTAATGGAATAAAATATATTGTGTGTAAAAGTGTAAAGTTCTGTCCTGATCTTTACTTAAAACAAACACACACACACACACACATGCACATGAACTTTTATTGATTTTTAAAAGCTTATGGAACATAAAACACATGGAAGTCTGCATCTAATCTCATTTCATTACAGCACACATTGAAGAACATGACTGAATTTACTGCTTGCAACTGTACAAGGTGAGACAGTTAAATGTTCCTATTACATTAGATCGATCTGCAATAAAACAATGAAGCATGAAACATTTTCTAACTAAAATATCTTATTCATGAGGCTAAAACCTGTCAGATTCAAAGTTATTGCTGAAACACACAATAAATCTCACTAATACAGCTGCTTCATTGAGAAACATTTCAGATGTTTGTGTTGAATGCAAGTGCTTTGGCTGTGATCCGTCAGTAGAAAAGAAAGGTGACCTGAAGTAGTTTGTTATTTCTCTCCTGAGACAGAAACACCCTAAAGTGCATTAACAGTCTGCGACGGGCACTGAGGCAGGACAGGCTGCGGGGTTGCTGCGTTCACCATCAGCTGCATTAAAATGCAAGAGCAGCAGTGCATCACTGGACCTCAGAGATAGATAAATCAACTAAATAAGCAAGCGCAACGTATGCACTCTGCTACAAAAAATGCCCGCATTGCATGAACAAACCTCATGCTCTGAGGACCTACAGCTCTCTTTCTCTCTCTATCTGCTCTCTTACAATGAATTAGACATGGACATTTGAAGAACATTTTGAAATAGTCTGAAACAGTATTTTCTTATAAAACGTACCCCAATAATCTTTATATATGTGTGTGTGTATTACTAATCTGTCAACACAATCTTTGTGGCATAAAGTATTCAATATTTGCTTATTTTTTGAAACAGCCCTAAGAAGTTTTCTGTGAATAAAAAACTTGAAAAATATTGGGTTGTATTAGTTGATTTATTGAAAAGTTTATTGAAAAGTATGGCTAGGATATTCTTAAACAGTATAGCCTATATATATTTGTGTTTGACGGAAGAAAGAAAGTCATTCGGGATTGGAGCAACCCAATAATGACTGAATTTTCAATTGAACTACTGTATTCCTTTAAAGTTGGCATAAAACTGAAGTTGCCATAGTCTCTTATTCCCTATTGTTATGTACAGTATATCCGAGTGAGTCGACTTCTCAAACGGATAAATTTGCAATGAATACTGGAAAATTAGAGTTGTCAATTTTGATTTCATGGGGACTTTGAGGAATTTGACCAAATTGATTTTAGCATCTGCATTCATGAACATACACACACCCCTTAAAGTGCAGGGGTGTTTGCTATGCCTGACGCACATGGAGTTTCAGAGAGCAGGGTTAGAGGAATGGGATGATCCTTCATAAGCTTGAGCTCTACTGTATTCCACTATGTCTTTGATGTGAGAAACTCATGAAGGTCTGCTGCCGTTTGCCTCATGTCCTGGGGAAGAGTTCAGGAAGCTTTATTGAGTGGGCCGTTGGGAAAACAACATTTTTCAGAGGCCTAGCCAAGCTCAGAAAAAAAATGTGCCCCTGCTGAGAAGATTTTCTTTGGGAAAACAAATGTTCTGGGCTGAATTATTTTTTTGACATTGGCTATATGAGTCAGAGATGCATTTTGCCGTAGTTTTGCAAAGTAATCTCATTCGTCTTCATAGCTATTTGTATGTAAAATCTTCTTCTAGCACGTTCACTGCTGTTCAAATGATCAGATTTTGATAACACATTGTATCGATAGTCCAAAATAGACATTCTACTAACTATACGTAACTTTGCAACTACATGTCAACAAACCTCTATTAGTGTTAGTAGACATGAAGAGTTCAGATGCAAAAGCCTCTAAGTGCCATTTGAAATTTTCTTCTAAAATGATAATTTTTATCAAGCTTATATATTTAAGTTCAGTAATTTCACTTAAATGGCAATGAAGATTACCTATTAATTGTCATTTAAGTGAAATTACTGAACTTAAATATACAAGCTTGATAAAAATGGTCATTTTAGAAGAAAATTTCAAATGGCATTTAGAGGCTTTTGCATCTGAACTCTTCACATGTAGTAGCACAGCTTTATAGTTAATAAATGGACAATCGAAATAAAGTGCAACCGTTTTATTAATGTTTTTGAAAGAAGTCTCATATGCTCACCAAGGCTGCATTTATCTGATCAAAAATACAGTAAAAACAGCAATATTGGTAAATGTTATTATAATTAAAAAATAACATTGTTGTAAAATAAAAAAAATAATGTTTTCTATTTGAAAAGAAGAAAAAGTAATTTATTCCAAGCTGAATTTTCAGCATCATTACTCCAGTTTTCAGGGTCATCCGATCCAAATGTACATGTGAAGGCTTTACATATAAATGCTCTGAGTATGTTGATATTATATGCTTTAGTGTCTCTCCAAATGTTGAAAATGATGTCTACATGAATACATCTGAGATCACCAAGGGATTTGCTGTGGTTTATGTGTTAAAATTAAAATGAAACATAGTAAACTGCAGATTTTATTTATTTATTTATTTTTTTAACAGTGCAGCATAACTGACACCTAAAAATAAGATGGATAGATGAAGAGCATGTCGCCTCCCTCTGTGTTCAAGGCTTTGGACTCCCATGGGCTTCAATATTCTCAGATGCTGAACATCAGCTGTATTTATATATTGACTGCATGTGGCCTCACATGACGTGAGAGTGACATAAGCTGCTTATGACCTGCGAGACGGGAAACCGGCGAGGAAAAAATGAAGCTAATATTCCTCTCCATCGTTACATTACATTTATTCATTTAGCAGAGGCTTTTATGCAAACTTACAAATCCGACTTACAAATGAAAACAATATAAGCAGTTAAACTAACAGTAAGGCAACAAACGTAAGTGCTATGACCCCTCTCGGTTTAATAGAAAAAAAAAAAAAAGAATATATATATATATATATATATATATATATCCCTCCTCTTATCCTTGGGGTCAATTTGACCCCATTCAATGTTTAACGTCTGTAAAAACATAATTTATTTTTTATTTTTTTGCTTCAAATTGAATGACTTTTCCTAATTTAATGGGGACAACTCTGTAAACATAAAATTAACCTGCTAATATTTTTTTCAAAGTCCTGTACAAATTTTGTAGCATCGGTGTTCCTTGGGGTCAATTTGACCCCAGGCTCTTTTAGTTGTATAATAAAACAGAAGAAATATTAAAATTTCACACACATTTGTTTTGGTTGTTATATTGAGGTCATTATAACATGTTATAATTTGAATTTATAATGTTCATTGTAATTTTACATATTCAATGTCATTTTCAAAAAACGTCCCTCTGTTTTAGGGCTCTAACCAAACATAACCATATCTGTAATATTGCGAGAACTACTAGTAGTTCACATGACATGTGACATAATTCTCAAGATAACTAATAATTCTTTCCTGTGTATTGGGGAGGGGAAAACATCATTTTTGTGAGAAATTTGATGTTTCCCATGCCATGGGGGAGGAGAAAACATAATTTTTGTGAGATTGACCCCAAACATAACTTGTGTTACTATCCTTGATAAAATAAATAGTTTTTCTTTCCAAATGTCATAGATTGCATAAATCTATACTTAGAAACATTATAAAACAAATAAAACCCCAGATGTATTTATACTTTTCCAATTTTAGGTCAAATCAGTAAGATTTTATGTTGATTTGTAAATTTGTCCATAGTCGTGCAATGGGTATTCTGGATGTATAAGGGGTTAGGTGGGGTTAGGTGGGGTGGGGAGGGGGGTGGTGGGTGGATGTCAACTTAAAACGTTACTTAAGTAATCAACAAAGACATACATTAACTGAGACAAACCTTTGTAAAAAAAATAAACATATTGTGGAGGTTTAAATTACTGGGGTCAAATTGACCCCAGAGGGTAAAAAGTGTTATCAGATTTGAGGATAACAGGAGGGATATATTTTTTTAAGATTAGAAGAGAAAGGAGAAAGTGTTAGTATGGATCAAGTGCTACGTCTCAGCAGTTTCTTGAAAGTGGCTACTGACTCAGTAGCTCTGGTTGAGTTAGGCAGATCATTCCACCAACAGCGAACAATCATGGTAAAGGTCAGAGAAAGAGATTTTATGCCTCTTTGAGATGGTACCACAAAACGACGTTCGCTAGCAGACCTCAAGTTTCTGGATGTCACATTAGTCTGAAGTAGTGAGTTTGGGTAAGAGGGCAAATCTGCAGGACCGGGCAGTTCTAGCAGTGTGGTCTGTGAAGTTAAATTGATCATCAATTACAACCCCAAGGTTCCTAGCTGACCTTGATGGAGTTATGGATGATAAGCCTACCTGGATGGAGAAGTTGTGATGAAGGGTTGGGTTGGCCAGGATCACAAGTACCTCTGTCTTAGCAAGGTTTAGTTGAAGGTGGTGGTCCTTCCTCCAGCCAGAAATGTCAGTCAGACAGGCTGAGATACGAGCAGCTACCATCACACACACACACACACACACACACACGTAAACTCTCTCTCTCACACTCAAAATAATTTAGAGCCACACACCTCAAGAGAAGTGGTGATGCTAATGATTCATAAAAGGCTGACATTTTAATCAAACAATAAGGGGCAACATTGTTTATTTATTTGTTACCTATGTGAAACATTAGAAAACTTGGATTTAGATGAATCATTGTATGACCTTGAGAACCTGTTTTAGGAGATTTCTGCTACTGTAATATTCTTGCTTTTTTTGCCTGCATCAAGGTCACTAATATTTATTTTCAAATCCAAGCTTATTGCTTTCTGTAGATCAGCTTCTGTTGAGAGCGTTTACTACGTCAGTTTGATATTGCCTTATCCAATAGTTGATGAGAGATTAACCGAAGTGGAGCATTTTTGAGGCATCAAAGCCAAAAAAACAAAGAATTTCAGAGGGACTGAGAAATCCCCAAGACTCAATCAGTGATACCTTTATTCCATCTGCCATGGATAACAGTTAATGTTCGTGCTGGGAAACGCTCCTTCCCATCCATCGTTTCCTCTAATTCCGCTGCTTTCTTCTCTTGAGACTTTCTCAGAGTGGGACGCAGTGGTGGATGATGGGAAAACAGCTCAGCGGGCCAGTCACTATTTAGCGCCGCCTCCCTGCGTTACTTTCCCGCAGCGTTGTCAACCACCCCGGCTCCCGCATTCCTCTAACAAGCTGCTAAACTCTGTCCCACATCCCTGTGGAGAGCCCACCTGAACATGGCCGCCGTGCCGCTCCCTGTGAGGATGTTTTATTAGATTCACAGCAGAAGAGAAAACCTGATTTAGCTCAACTGGTGGGTGGAGAGCAACAGCGTTCCCTCGGAGAATGAAGTGCTTTTAATTATGGTGAATTCAGATTACATCTCCCATTCACCTTGCTTGCGATATTATAAGTGTATAATTAATTTCTTTCGTGTTGTCTTTCTATTATTAACATGTGAACTTTATTGGCGGGGTTTTTCATGATGTATTTGTTGGTTTAAAGTTTAAAAAGGAAGTGGCTATTGGGAGATTCTATAGCCACTGTTACTTTAAAACTGATTTTGTTCCTAAGTGTAATTGACATATTCATTAATAACTGATATCCTGGAGAAAAAAAAGAAAAAAGAAATTATTAAAATTATTTAAAGTGACATTTTATTCATGTTATTATTATCCATGATGATGATGATCTTGTAAGAATAGCAATACAACTGTTAGTTTAAAATTGAGTTTACATTCATTAAAGTAACTAATGTATTAATTACTGTTTGTTATTGTTATTATTATTAATGGTAATAATAATGATTGTCACTT